CAGAGCCAAGCCGTAGTTCAAGCCAGGTTGGCGGTTCAGGTTAACGCGGTTAGAGGGCGCAAAAGCTCATAACCAGTCCCACCTATCCGGCCAGTAAAAAGCACCCCACTGGCTGCGGTTTAGAGGCCTGAGCTCCCGAGCCCCTTCTGCCTACTCAGTAAAGAGACCGCTCTCTACAGACGGAGCTACAAGGAAGGATATGATTATACCTAGAACCCATCATCACGGCTCTGGAAAGACTTGCTGATGATTACCCAACCCCTTCGTGTCACACCCCTCAGAGGAGGTGAATAATACAGGGGGACCGCAGGACGAATACACTTTGAGGTAAGAAACAGGTAGGCCAGATCGAAAAGAAAAATAGTAGTAGAAGGAGAGCCAAAAACCACGCCGGAAATTCGCGCCATATAACTGCTCAAGCCATAGAGCGGTAACACCTACAACCACCAGTAGAGGCAAGCTAATGCTCGATAAAACCGATAAACCGAGAACGCCTAGAGTTGCTGTGACGATGAAAGTCGTGGTGCAGTCCGGTCCAAGATGGCCAACAATGGCACAAGGGAGAGGATACAGTGTAGAGACGTCTTGCTGAGAGATATTCTAAGTTCAGGATATGGAGAAGTCGTTGGAATGAGGTAAATATTATATTTTTTATTCTTGTCTGATGGCTGTACTCTCCTTTCTTTTATTTCATCTTTTCATCCCGACGTTCTATATATATATATATATATATATATATATATATATATATATATATATATATATATATATTCATACATTTATGTATATCACAGAAGACGAGGAGAGAAAACACGCCCCAGCGCGTAATTCAAATGCTAAAGGTGAAAATAAAAGAAGATGTTTCTATACAGTTCTTATATTACATATTCACTAGCGTAACTACGGGGGAGGGAAGGCGGTCCAGCCCTGGCACTTTGGGCACTTTGAGTCTGCTCATCACTATACCAGGTTACTGGAGATTAAGCAAGAATCTTTTGTTGCGGCAAGTTAATCCTTGTCGTGTCTGACCTAACACCTGACCCACATCATCACGGCCACGTCATGAGCTACACCCTTGCTATGAGGCCCCCCGCCACACACACAACCTGTAACCTGTTGAGGATTAAGGAAACAACTTCAAACAAGTACGCCAGTGAGCTCATGTGGTGTGGGTCAGGTGTTAGGTCAGACAAGACGAGGATTAACTTGCCGCCGATACAAAGGGAAGGATTAACGTCTCCAGTAGCTGCAAAACCATGCAGTCTCGGATCATATCAGTTCATGTACAGCCGACCAATCCACCAGTTACAAGCAATTCACTTCAGTTCTGCACAAGTCTCCATCGTGACAAGACGAGGGGAGGCTAGACGACTTTGAGATTTCAACAGCTTCATGAACTTGCTGAGAAATATGCCTTCCTTACCCCATTGAATCTTTTGGATGATAAATATGAGTGTCAAATAGATCACGATCACGACGACATTGATAAAGAGGAGTTCCTCGTTGAGAGAAAAAGACTTCAGCATTTTGTTGCTGTTGCTGCTATAACTATTAAAGACAGAATACAGACGTGGAAAGAAGGCCCCCTTGAACTTTTGCAGTTTATTCAAAAGTATAACCTTAGGAACTCGGTTCCAAATATAGTAATAATGCTGAGGATTTTCCTCACAATTGCTGTTAGTGTTGCTACCTGTGAGAGGAGTTTTTCGAAACTAAAACTGATCAAGAATTACTTAAGATCTACTATGAGCACCTTGCGGTTGAGAAATCTTGCCATACTGTCTATAGAGCGACAATTGACAGATGAAATAGTTTTTAACAATGTCATTGAAGAATTTGCCAACAAAAAAACAAGAAAAGTTACTTTGTAGAAAGTTGTAGTTTTCATTTCAGAAATAAAGATGGTCCTAATTTTTTACACTTTTTTACTTTTTTCCCTATCCTATATGTCGTTTTTGCTTTTTGTTTAACTGTTACTTATAAAGTTTAAGTATGTTTGGGGTGTATTTAAAGCATACTATATATATATATATATATATATATATATATATATATATATATATATATATATATATATATATATATATATATATATATATATATATATATATATATATATATATATATATATATATAATATTGTCATGGTTTTGGGTGGATCGGTGGTAGTAGGAGTGGATTATATTATATAAAGATAATAATATGTCGTATTTCTTATTTCTTACCGTAGAGTTCGATACCTTCACACTGATTACTTACAGGAGATTATGGTGTATCTACGTAGAAGTTCACTCCACCACTCGACATTCCATGATTTATACTTGATAAATGATGATTTAATGAATTCATTTAAATTTCAACATCCATCTAAGTTATTGGTTATACTATGTCATAACCAATCAGTCATTACCTTTAGTAATAATAAGATAGGATCACAGATACGGGCAGATAATTGCACTTACATTTATTTGTCAAGCTTCCATACAATGATTTACAATTTGCATGGATATATGAGTCACTCACGTTCACGCTGTACTAAAATTAATCTTCTAAAAGAGGTAATTATCAACTTGGGAACACGTGTGATTACTCTACTGTAGGTATGACTTAACAGAGCCCTAATTCTTCAATTGATACATTTACTGCCAGCCTGGATTGCTTTTGTTACAACCAGGCTTCATCACAAGAACTTCTTTCCACGGCCATAACAACAAAAAGTACTCTTGGGTTACCACACATAGTCTCGCGTCACTGACAGTCACTGTAGACGGTTATCGCGGCAAGGAGAACTGGTAAGCGTGACTTGAATTAACCATTTAGGTGCCAAAGACCAGCCTGGATTGCTTTTGTCGCAACCTGGCTTCCACACGTGATATTTCCACGGGGATAACAAACCTAGGTTAACACACTTAGTCTCGTGTCGATCACGGTCACTGTAGACGGGTGTCGTGCAGGAGAACTCTGTAAGCGTGAATTAATTAACCATTTACTGTAGGTTTGATAGTCCAGCCTGGATTGCTCTGGTCGCAACCAGGCATCCACACGTGATATTTCCATGGGGATAACAACCTAGGTTAACACGCTTAGTCTCGTGTCGACGACGGTTCACAGGACGGAGTGGCGGTGGAGGACTCTGTGTGGTGTGGTGTCCCGCCCCCTTTCAGGAGGGAGAGGATGGAGACGACGTCTTAACTAACCCATGGCTCAGGGGATACTACTTAAAATGAGGTTTTTGGGTGTGAAGCGATGAACAGTACAACACTGTTTCACTGCCCACCCCCCTAAAGGCTGGCTAACATACACTAATTGAAAAATACATGTCCCAGTTATGCCTCGCCGGGCGTCTTATCTGTGGTAAAACAAACTTTGGAGTTGGTTGCGTGGGTAAGCCTAACGCAACCCATGACAAATATTTATTCCTTCAATCTGATTGAATATCGGCACTCGATATGATCCGATCTTGCTGTACAGGCGTCTTGTTAAAAACCTATTAGAAAAATTATTATTAACAATATTTGCTTATAAATCAATTATTAGCTTAAAATAGATCATTAAAGTTTTTCATACTCCCAGTTTGCTGCCTTTACTAGCTGCCCTTACCATTAAAAATAACTAAAAAAGCGCTTTTTTCTGATTTACTTAAAATGTTTAAATGGTTTGTAATTCTCCATGTAATGTTATATTTTTCCGGAAATAGGTAGGGCACTCCGACATACTAATTAATCGCTTTCAATTAAACTTATGCAATTGAATATATTGCAACCTTATATTTCGGCCATGAATTAGCCATTTGGGACCAGTGTGCATCGCTCCAGTTACTGACAAGTAAAGTTTTCCTAGTGTTGGGGACTTCCAGAGTAGATGTCAACACGCAGTCCATTAACTTAGGCCTACAGTATGAACTTAAGCCTAAGTCACTTTTTTTAGGCCTACTTCAGTGTCATATTTATTGTCGCCTTACATAATTATTTTAATGTAATATGTAACAAAATGGTTGAAATATACGATAATTTTTTTATAATTATACCGAACCTAACCTACCTTAACCTAACATAACCTATCTTAACCTAACCTAATC